GGATGAGACGTTCCGCACTGCTGAGGCCGAGTGAACAAACGAACGTCGTCAACCAGCACATACTCAAACACTCACGCTGTTGACCACCGAACATCGACATCATCTCTAGTTTTGCTCATATTCATCCCCGTTCCCCTCCAGTGAGACACAAGTCATTGATCTGACTTGCAATGCGGACATCTTGACGTGTGGAGCTGGCCGAGAGAGCGACTCCGATGTCGCGCGCGACCGCCGTCGGCCGAAGCCGATCCAGCTTGTCTCTCTCCGTGCCTTGGTTCGTCGCCCCGGGGGCTCTCAGATGTGCACTCGCATGGCAAGATCATATAATGCGTCTCGTCTCGATCGTGTTCTCCGAGCCTGCTTCGTACAGCACGCAACTCGTTGTATCATCGTACCTGCCGCTACCGTCGGTCCACCTACCACCTGCCTCAAGTCAGCCTACTCCAAGACAACGGATTTGAGTCCATCCCCAGTATGCTCATTCGCGCGTCCATAGCTCGCGTGAAGCACGCCAAACCGAACGCGGGGTCTTTCGCCTCCCCGGCGCGGCTACATCAAAGCGGGGCTATTGAGGCTGACGAAGCATTCGTCCTCGCTGCAAAATGGAAAGGAGCGTGCAAGGCATGCCAAGATCTTCGAATCCCGACGTCTGGTATGTGAGATACCGTGCGCGGTGCGCTCTCGCGCGTGGTGGGTAACTGCGTGCGTTCTCGTCTTTCCACCCAACTATCGTGTTTCCAGGCTGAATCGAACCTGGCTCTTCCGCCGGGTCGTCCGCGATAGCCCGCCTGGATGTGCACTACAACATCAAGCTCGAGGACATGCAGGTCGGCCGCGCGGACTCCGGCAGGACGCACTGCATCGGCGAGGCAGGCGATGACGAAGAGAATGCGACACTAATCTCTCATTCAACAAACTGCAGTCATTGCGCCGCCACCGTTACGCGTATCATGAAGGAAGTATCGCGCTTATTCGACTACATCCCCTACCGTCATGCGGCCCACATCAGCAGCCCGCAATCCAAGGAGAAGCGACGGGGGGAACGTTCGTCCAATCCTATCCCGGTCGATAACGGCGCCACTCGATTCGGATCGAAGGGCACTCGAGATGTCACCCTCGTCCCCAAGGGCTCGCACCGACTACCTCTTCTCTTCTCCCCGCGTTCTGGGTCGACTACCGTCCATGGGCTTCTTCAAGTTGCAGTTAAAGACCATGATTCTGCCTGGTACGTATTTTCGTCCCAGTGGAGGCAAATCGTTGCACACATCTCAACCTGGCAGCCGCCTCAAAACAATTCGGGACCGGTGAACTTGTTCGCGACGCGCAGGACGTCGAGGCGGGCGCGATGGCGACTGGCAACGCTGCGGAGATATCTGTGGAACGCTGCCACTGCCGAGAACCTCAGTTTTCGCGGCTAAAGCTGAACGCATTTTCCCTGGGTCTCGTATCGGAGATGTTCGTCGGGAGCGCATTGTACGACTGCTGGGTGTCATGTCCCTTGACGCACGGAGACGTGGGGATTGACACCTAGATACAAAGACTTGAAGATCGGTCTCGATCGCTCATGAGCAATGATACTGGTAGAGCGTGAAGTCGCGGACGACCAGAATTTTTGCTCGATAAGCTGCAGTGGGTATATGAGATTTTACATCTCAAGATCGGAAGGAATCATGCTTTTCGCCCCGATGGGTACCAACTAATCCTGTTCGATGTCATAACTACGGCGCCGATTCCCGGGAGCAAGAGTCGGACCTGATTTCTGCTTTCCAGTCCCTCGTCCCAGCATCGCTGTCGCCATGTAGTAACAACTCGTGCGGGAGGAACCGGTCACGCGCAGTGCTGTACACACATCAATCGACCTTCATCGAATTTCACAGGATGGTGCACTCACATACGTAGGTGTACTCCAGGTAGTAACGTACCCAAACGGGTGCACGGCCAAAGATCTTCGTCGATATGCCATTCACGAGCTCTAACGATCGCCCTGAATTCACATTGGCCAGGATGTGTGTAATCACCGCCGCTTCCCCCTCGTTTTCCCCAACTCGCGGATATATCTCCCCCAAATCGGCGAAGACCTCGACGGCCTCGACGTCCCGCCTCCCGCTCCGATCACCGGCCTTCGCACATCATACGAAACCCGGGCTTTTGAACCGCGGCCCCTTCGGGCTTTCCTGATGCACGCTATCCTGAAGCTCGCGATGTCACTCGCACCCGAGGAGCAAAGCACACCGCGGCCGAGCAGTCCATACTTTCGTCCTCCGCGCATCAGCGCCGCGCGTGCGCGGAGGCAGCCGAGCGCTCGGATTCATCGCGGGAGCCAAAGGCGACGAAGAGCAATTTGACGACATCGCGCAACTCGGGTCCTATTGAGGTAAGGATCAGTCGGCGAAGAAAAAGAGGAGCATATGCGGCGAAGAAGGACCGGAACATACCTTTGAAAGGAGCCTGCGTCGTAGATGGAGCCCTACGTAGATGCTGCCCTACGTCGGGTCGGCGTCACCCTGGAAGGTGCATAGCGGCGCGTAAACGACGACGTCGAGCCAACTGTTGAAGTAATGCGACTGGAGAGACAAAGTCAGGCTGACGATGCTTGGATGAGACGATGCGGACCTGTGAGAAGAGCGCTTGTTTGCAGAAGAGAGATTGAATTACACTGCGGTCGACTGTAGACAAGAGCGATCATGGACCGGTGTGCGTTCGACGATGACGCACGCCGTCCGGAGAAGCGATTGAGGCTGGCCGAAGGGGTGTGAAGGAACACTAACGCGGTGCTTCGAGATTTGCGATACCTGAAACGAGTGTATGCGCGTATTAGCGTCGATCGTGATCCATAGATGTATGGTAGAAGAGGGAGCAGGTTCACGCAGCGGGGATTCGTGAGCACCGGAGCGAGTGCAAGAGGATGATGAGAAGAGAAGATGCGGACGCGTACGCACCTCAGTTAACCATTCGGGAAGCCGTAGAGCATTCAAGACCCGGATAGGCAAGCCGATACGGTCTTCGTAGAGTTCGTCGAGGGCGTTGATGAGGAAGAGAGGCCAATGTAGAGTCAGGCCGGTGCGGTCGTCGTGAGGCCGCCTACGAAAGGTATGCATATATGCGCATCAGCATCCGTGGACTTGGGCACGGGTACTAAGGGCGGAGACAATGCAGGAAAACGTACCGGGAGTGGACGAGCCGCCTCCCATTGCTCATGCAGGACGGTATGGCCAGCCTTCCGCATACTCCGCTCGACAAATGACTGTCCGGTTCGAGGGTAGGCGTAGTCGTCGCAGCGTTCATACCCATTCCCTAGTGTATCCGAGCTCGATGTCATCGCTGGACTATGCGCCTTCGGGCGAAGCATCTTCATGTTCAGAGAACAGGCCGCCATGCCGATGAACTATACTGAGGGAGGTGGAGTATTGGCGAATGATGGGGAGGTGAAATAGCGGCGGCGATGGTGGCATGACGCTAATGTTTGTATACGAAGTGGTATGAGGAGGAGGCGCACGAGAGGGCGAGAAGGCGACGTGCACATGTTCGCAGGCAGACTGTATCGCGTCCGGGCATGGCTTTTGGAGCGGAACTTGACTTCGGTGAAGGAGAGGAGAGCGTAAGTAAGTCGTTCCCAGGCGATAGGTATGTGGATGAGGCTGCTGGTCTGGGATGGCCCTACGACCGCGGCGCGTGCGGGAGATCCGAGGTCGACGCGTGTTTGGGCTCTGGAGGTGTCCTGGACCAAGTAGGAGGGGGCATCTGACCTGTTTGAAGCCAGAGCGAGGGGGATTAAGACTTCGATGCTTGACTGCGATGGTACACAACCAGGTGAGTGAACGAACGTCGTCATTCCGCGCAAAATCGAACACGCACACTACTGTTAACCATCGACCATACCTCGCGCCCGTACCTCGCGCCCGTCCTCGTTCCCATATCGCCCAGCGCGAGACTGCGATCGTGGCAGAGAGGGATCAATCGCGCGCCACTTGACTCCCATCTTCCTTTGACATCTCCAGCTCATACATGCTCACCTTCGCGCTCTCTAATTTACAAAAGCCTGTCAATATGGTGCCGCTTCTTCTTGCATCTTAACCTCTGGATATTCTATCGCATGAATGATACTTGCAATAGCCGCGCTCTAGGGCGTCTGTGTACCTCCCAAGGCTCTCGGAACACGCCCAATGATCAAACTCAGAATGCTATCGCCATACTCATCCGCATGGTCTCGCATACGGCCGCGAATGCCCAGACCCCGTTCGTATACTTTTCACCCAGTGGGTCTCCGGCGTTAGGGCTCTGAAAGCGACTGACCTGCACCAGTTCCGTGTCGGTCGATCGACGTGCTTGTACACCGCACGAGCAGGTATACACCATCAACGATGTGCGTTCTGCTGATCAGAGGTGCGCAGAGTACAGCGGGTGGGGCCCTAGATTCTTTCTTTATCCCCATTCATCCTCTCCACTGCTTTGTGTACCCATGCTAAAGCCACCCGCCAACAGACACTCGAGGTGCTAGGATATCTGTCTGAATTCTGTAAAGGGTGAGCGAAAACATCCTGACCGGGACCGCTGACGGCTATATGCATCAAGAACGGCCATCTCGGTCCATGCCGCACGCACGACCGTCGACACTTTCTTCGTATGTTGTACCCTGTTGTCCCCCTCTAAGCAGTAGTGCACGGTGCTTGCTCTGGTTGACTCACCCATCTGCATGATAGAAACTCCGCCTTGCCTTGCAACCCAACCTAAACGCCAGATATTACACCTGTGCGGTCCACGAGCCGACGAAATGTAGCGCAGGCACAAAGCATGGTCAATGACCGCTTGCGGACCCCGTAACGTCCAACGCGATCATCGATTTCAAAATTGGCGCCGACGGAACGCCGGCGCAGCCCATCACGTATTCGATGAAGGCTGAGATATGGCGGGAGCAGTGCAGGTGCTCAATGATCTCATTCGCCGAAGATCGAACGGCGTACTGATGAGCAGTTTCCCGACACTACAAGGGCAGTTGCATGAATCGCGGAGGGTGTAATTCGGGCGGTGAGTATCGCTTGGCGGTCACGCCGCGTTGCATATCAGAGTCGTGTTCGCCATCCTAGATGAGACCGACACCAGAACTGCGCGCACGCGGACTGTTGCCACAGTCGTTATCAAGCGCTTCGTCACGAAGTCAGCCAAGCACACGGCTTCGGTACGCACCTGCTCCTCTCATTGATCCTACCATCT